GACAAAGGGAGTAAGGGAGGAAAAGAGAGAAAGGAAAGGGTGAAAGAAGAGAAGGGGAGGAGAGGAAGGGACAAAGGGAGTAAGGGAGGAAAAGAGAGAAAGGAAAGGGTGAAAGAAGAGAAGGGGAGGAGAGGAAGGCACAAAGGGAGTAAGGGAGGAAAAGAGAGAAAGGAAAGGGTGAAAGAAGAGAAGGGGGGAGAGGAGGGACAAAGGGAGTAAGGAAGGGAAGATGGGAGGAAAAGAGGTAAAGGAAAAAGTGAAAGAAGAGGAGGAAAGGAAGGTACAAAGGGAGTAAGGGAGGAAAGGAGGGAGGAAAAGATGGAAAGGAAAGGGTGAAAGAAGAGAAGGAGAGGAGAAGAGAAGAAGGGACAAAGGAAGGGAGGAAAGGAGGGAGGAAAGGAGGGAAAGGAAAGGGTGAAAGAAGAGAAGGAGAGGAGAGGAAGGGACAAAGGGAGGGAGAAATTAGATTAAGCTGTATTCCCAAGCCGATTATCATCTGGACTGACAGCATGGCACTCAAACGAAAAAGAAATCTAAGATTCTCATTGAAAATGCTCCGTCACCAACCTCAGCCGGTTCTCCACTTCCCTTTTAAAGGCCTTATCTGGTTGAACTTTAAATCAAGGGATGGACTCAGGCTAATTTAACTCCGAGATAGACTCTCCTTCCTGTTTCGCTTTCCCTCCAGAAGCTCAGGTCTAATTTACACCTCGCCAAAAGCAGATAATGGCTTTAGAATCTGTTTGCTTTTTGCAAACTGACCATGCATTTAAATTATGGAAACCTTGAGCAATATATCACTCAAATTCTTCCCTGACCTGGGAAATTTCCAAGCCTATTCAATACGGTATCTTCCACCCACATTAATTGTCAAAACCAATTTATTTATGGAAGCAATCACTATTGAATGAAACACACGTAGGGAGTGGCGAATTTTTCCCTGCACTGCTATGGCTTCACCTACAAGTTTAAAAGTTTCTTTAAAGAGGGTAGACCTGCTCTGCGTGTTGAATAGGCCAAAGGTAACTAGGTTATCTGTGGAGATTCTTAATCACCCAGGTCCTGGTTGTCCCAAAGCAGCTTTTCCAAAAGGCAACCGGCTTTTCTTTGTTTGTCCCTTGAAGAGGTTTCACTTCTCATCCAGGCAGCTTCTTCAGTTCTGGAGAACTGAAGTACCGAAGAACAGAACTGAAGAAACTTCTTTGGATGAGAAGCGAAACGTCTTCAAGGAAATAAACAAAGAATATAGAATATAGAATATTCTATAGAATCAAGATCAAAGTGTTAATCCCACTTTATAAGGCCTTGGTAAGGCCACACTTGGAATACTGCATTCAGTTTTGGTCACCAGGATGTAAAAAAAAGGTGTGGAGACTCTAGAAAGAGTGCAGAGAAGAGCAACAAAGATGATTAGGGGACTGGAGGCCAAAACATANTTTCTTATGTTGTTGTATTTTTCTTTCTGTTTTTAAAGGTAATAATGTTTAATAAAAATTATTTTTTGGAAAAAAAAATAATGCATTTGACTAGTTTGAATTATGAATGACAGCTGATGACCCGTGGTGTTCTGTTGTGCTGTTTTGATGACTTGTTTTTGTAGGAAAGGCATAACACTGTGATTTCCATTCTGGGAACAGTTATACTTTGGTTTAGTTAATGCAAGTGGGGTGAGAATTTCATTTTTAAGAACTTAGCAAATCTAATGTATTTTGTCCTAAATTAATTGAAAATAACTTGAATTTTTAACATACATTTGAGAGAAAGAGGAACGCTAAATAATATCCACATCCTCAGGTAATGCAAATTAAAATGTAATTCCCAAGGGCTATTTCAATATGGAGTTTAAATCAGAAGATATGCAATAATTGTATTTATCACTTTGCAGAATGAGATGGGCATATAACTTTAAAAATACAACAATGCAATGCAATGCAATGCAATGCAACACAGCACAGCACAGCACAGCACAGCAAAGCAAAGCAAAGCACAGCACAGCACAGCACAATACAATAATTAACAAGGCTTTTTGCAAATTTCAGAAGTTTCCTGGCCCTCAAATCAAAGTTTTATAACTTCTTAACCATATAAATAATTCTACAGGGTTGGTTTCTTTGCTGTTGTTGTTTTTGTTAATCTAATAGACAACAAAGAACAGAACAGAAAAGAAAATAAGTCTTTGTACATTGAGGACCACCTGTAAGTAAAATTCATTAAATTTCCTAAAAATAGGGGTGGGGGGGAGAAACAAGATAGAATAAATACACAAAAGGTTATGATCAAGAAACTACATTCCCTTGGGAGATTTACTGCACTTAAGTCCACTGAAACTCTCTAAATTATGTCTAGATTTTCTGTAGTTATATGCAGAGGTGGGTTCCTACCAGTTTGCACCTATTCGGTAGAACCGGTTCGTCAAATCTACCAAACCGGTTAAAAAGAGGTTCCACCAGTGGACCCGGAAAGCAGGCCACACCTACAGAAGAGGATCCAACATTTTTTGAAACCCACCACTGGTCCTTGGATGTGATTATTGTA